GTCCGTGGAAGCGGGCTGGGGGCTGGGGGACCCTGCGAGGCCGGAGGCTCAGGTCAGCGGGAGGCCCTGCCAGTGCCCGACCGCCCCGCAGGACGGAGCTGAGTGGTCGGGTCCACGCCCCCCTCCCCGTGGGCCTGTGGGTGAGGGGGACGAGAATCCCACCGGGCCCTCTGTTCTCTGCCATCTCCCTCGCTCAGATGCCCACCCAGAGGGCAGAGCCTGACCTTAGTCCAGGGCTGTCCTGCCTCCGCGGCCCCAGACCCCGAGGACCATGGAAGCTGGGAGCCCCTCGGCCACCCCAGCTCCCCCGGGCCAACCACTGCTTCTGCTTGAATCCCTCCCCCAGCGGGGAGCTCACTCCCCGTCCAAGCCCCTTTCAATCTCTCTGTCCTCTCCACCTCCATTTCCCTCTCTCTCTCTCTCTCTAATCCCTTTATCTTTTTTTTTTCTCCTTGGGCTGGTGGGCCCAACGGAGTCAGATGTGCCCCACTCCCCAGCCCTCTCTGTCCCCGCTCCCAGGACCCCCACCCTGCCCCTGGCACCTGGACACCCAAGCGGCTCCTCAGGAGGGGGCGGGGGCAGCGGTGGCGGCTGGAAGTTCTGGTACCACTCCCCGGAGGAGGTGCTGGAGCCATCGTCAGCCGAGGGCCCTGCAGGAGACACCAGAGCCAGTCACCTCCCCTGGAGGGCTGGGAGGCCTCAGGACTCCGCTGAGTCAGGCCTCTAGTTCGATGAGTGAGGTGATGAAGGCCCAGAGAGGGGAGGACACTTGTCCGAGGTCACACAGCTCGTGTCTGCGGAGCTGGAGCCGGAAGCCTGCGCCCAGCTTGGTCAGGGCTCCTAGCTTGCCGGGTTGGCCGCAGGACGGGAGGCTGGGCACACAGAGCCCTCCGGGCCGGCTTACCTGAGAAGGTTCCCTGGGAGCCAGCCAGCTCCAGGCGCGGCGGCTGCTCCGGGAGGGGGCCCCACGGCGGGAGCCTGCCGCGGGGACTGTTGCAGTAGCCCTCCCCGGACGACGTGCTGGACCCGCTGCTGCTCCGGGGGCGCTGCTGGGGGACCTGGCTGGGGGGGTCTGCAACGCAGGGCCCAGGGTTGGCAGGGGGACCGGGAGGCACGCGCCTCTTCACGTCCCCGCCAGGAGGGGAGGGCGGCGAGGAAGGACGCAGGCTTGGGCTTAGACTGGGCGAGGGACTGACCACCACGAGGAGA